TTTCTATCTATCTATCTATCTATCTATCTATCTATCGAAAACATTGCTGCGCGTTGCTCTAGTTTTAACGCATGCGCTTTACGACGAATAAGTTCACTAGCCGGCATCTTGATTCTGCGGTTGTTTTCTAGTATGTGATTCTTCTGGCCACAAATTCTATTGAGTGAGAATGCGGGACTGCGTCTGAATGCTTTCAATGGAGGAAGATGTTATACTCAAGATGGTGTAGTTACGAAATCTACCAGCAGGGGTTAACCAAACCACGCTAACCAGCTAAACCAGCCCAGCTAGTCTACCTGCCCAGAAACTGACGGCTGGTGAGAAAAATCAGAGATAATCATCAACAGGTTTGAAAATGTGCTTTTTTAACCACAAAGTAAAAACAGAATGTAGCATAGTTTCTGTAAGCTGATCCAGAGTCAGACCTGCTTCACTTTCAGCGTGTGAACGAGTTCATATCTGCTCTCAAACACACACATCAGCTTCACAGCAGCTCAGAGTCACTCCACACTAAATATAGAACCTGCTTACGAAGGACAGAAGGTGTTTGTTCTCACAGGATCATCAGAAGTGATGCTACAGCAGATAAACTGTGCTGCTGCCTTCTCATTTAAAATTCATCATGTATGGAAAAAAGTAATACAATTTTGTGCTTAATTGTTATAAAAAAATAATGCAAGATTTTTTGCATTATTTTCATTACTTTTTTCATTTTAATTTCTGTAATACAAAAAATGTAATAATAATAATAATTGTATATTTAGACAGAACAATTTTCATAACTGTATTACATTTTATGAGAATTTGAGCTTATTTCCCATGAAAATAATGTCACAATGCAACATATCAGTATTTGTTAAAAGATGAAACTCGTTTTCTTTGTTAAATATAATACATTACTTCATTATTTTGATCTTGGTGTGAAATATGACCTGCACATGTTCTGAAGTTCAGGCCAAAATGTCAGAGACAGAAAATGATGCATGAATAATTAAAGCAGCAGCTGTGTGTGTGTGTGTGTGTGTGAGTGTGTGTCATCTCATTACACAGCATCTGAAATGTTATGGTCATTCTGAAATGCCCAAGCAAAGTATTTCTGTATAATTGCCTCCCAGAACTGTCTTACACGACTGCGTTCACATCTGCCTCCGAAAGCACTGACCGCATTGTTTCGTCTGCTTGCTCTGAGGCACAAGTAATTTATTATATATGGAAATTCTTATATATTCAGTGGCTTCTCCTGTTTTCTTTGTGATATTTAGTGCCAGTTTATCAGGACGTGACTATTTTGTTCCCTTTGACTCGTTGGATGGAAATGGTACTTATTCCAATTTTGCACATAAGTTAAATTCGCATCTTTGGATGGAAACGCGGCTTGTGAGACTCGCCGTCTGAATGATTGAATGTGATGGCGCTTGGACGTGAACGTGGCTCTGACGCACTGCAGAGATGATCTGAAGATCTTCACGGACACTCCTGGGATCCCAGAAAGCTCTTAGTCAGTCACTTTACAAGCATTCAATCCATTAAACATCATCCTCCTTCCTTTCTCATTCAGCGTGTTAACTGAGGACAG